GATTTTGTATGTGGCGCCTATTTCAAAACTAACCTCTGGTCAGCTGGGTTCCAAATTTTTTTTCCCACGTACACGACTTGAGTTGGCAGGAAGGTCACCCCATAAGAAACGATTTCTTCGTTCCTCATCAATCGTAACAAATATAATTGCATTAATGATATCTACTAATGATAAACAGTGGATAGTATATACAGCAATAGCTCAAACAATGAGGGAGACAATGTATGTATGCAGGCAGTTTGCTTCCACTCACAGAAGATTTCATGTTCCCGCTGGCGCTCAAACACCACAAACTGAGAATCTGAGTTCTGGCTGTAAATGTTCAGATGAACACTTGTTTGGATCAGATCAGCTGAACAAATCTAATGCACCTACTTACGTGGCGCGACGTGGCCGCATGGAGGCTCCACAGCGCATTTTGTGTCCGCACGGGCGCCTTAAGCCTGCTGAATGTGATTTTGAGATCTGCACGAAATGGTACGTGTTAGTGGGTGTTCGACTCGCAGAGATGAGACAAATCGAACGCACCTACTTATGCAGCGCGATGTGGCCGCGTTGGGGTGCCACAGCGCATTTTGTCTCCGCGCGGGCGCCTCGGGCCTGCCGGACGGTCGTCCTCCGTAGTGCCCGCAGCCCGTGACTCCGCCCGAGCCACTCTCGTTGCAAACCACGCAGCCCGGCTCGCGGAGCGCTGCGAGAGCGCCTTGCGACGCGATGCTGAGGACATGGCGCCGTCGTCTGAGACTGTTGGCACGTGAGGCCAGGGCGAGCAAGAAGGACGAGGACGATGTCCGCGGACATATCCTCGCCGTGGCGTGCTCGCGCGGCGGCGTGGTGGCACGCCTTGTCGTGTTGTTGGTGCGTGCAGGCCCCGAGTCTGGCGTCGCGCAGGGGGCGGGCGTGCATTCGGCACGGCTCGGTACGCTGCGATGGTGGTCCTCAGTGTCACGTCGCGAGCGGAGACGGCGGCAACACACCTAGAAAACGCGGCCGAAATGGCCGCTACGTGTTTGTAGCGGCGTAGAGGTGTATATATAACCATTTACTTGCGTTCTAACGCAGCCAGGGTGCGGAGTACCAGTGGTACGGCCTCGACGAGCTTTGAGGGACGGTCCGATACGACGGCCGCCGAAATGGCCGAAATTTAAACTGCTCGTATGTGCTTGAAAACGGTGGGATCCTGTTCGCATGCTTCAGGTGCGTGTGTGTGTTGACTTTGAGAGCCGTACCTTGCAACGGTGGTCTGCGGCGCAGCGTTCTTCATTTCGACCCATGAGACTGCTCGAACATGTCGCAATATTTTGTCCTCGTATCGCGCGGAAGCCGCGACGGCTGTATGCGCCCGGGTGCAGGGAGCGTGTCGTTTCGTTTTACAGTCCTTGCGGGTCTGTATGCGCGTGCAAGGTCGGTTTAAGGCGTCGCTCGGAGCTAGAATCTCAGCTCATTAGAGCAGATCTTGTCCGGACGCGGGGGCAACACACGTACCGTGTTCCGCATAGCCCGTTGAGTATGCTGCGTCAGCATCGCGCAGATGGACTGCAGGGATGCGACAGAAACGGCAAAGGAGGGAGTCCAGAGGGAGTCCAGAGGGAGTCTGGAGGTCGTTCCGCGCTGCAGGCGCAGGACGGCCGGGGCGCGTTCGCACAAGGAATTGTGTATGTCTATGAGTATTTTACACACCCATTGGACGCGTGGAGGGTGTCCGCAAAGATGCACGGGTGGTGGATCGAGAACGATCGTGCCATCTCTAGGGTGTGCTCGTAGGCGGCGTCGACGATGAACGGCGGGCACATCCGGCAGGCAGCTTGTTACCCGTCCAATGGCATGTCCTTGCCTTACGAATTGCGACGTTTCTGAGTGTGGCGAGGACACGGCCGTTATATTCTTGAGTGCACTGTAGCAGGACCATCAGCGGATGTTGGAGAGAGCGCGGAGAGAGCCCGAGCGCTTACGTGTTGAGCGAGGTCCCGAACCGAGCTCGAGCTCATGTTACACACTCGTACTACCATTCGCACTAGATAATTACAAGAGTGGGGGCGTGCAGCCAGCCCGAGCCGCGGACAACGCCATCGTGGGCGAGAGCGAGAGCAGCAGGTCGATAGGTGCCCATGCGTGCACTCGTTTGGCGCGTGCACTCGAGCGTCGTGTGTGGCTTCGACGCAGGTCTGCCACATCTAGGAAGCGAGGGCAAGACAGCGAGCGGCGCGTGGGTTAAAATAACATCGTATTCAGCGCTAACTACTACATTGAGCTCCTCGCGAGCCTCCTCCCTCTCTTTCCCTCTCCTTCCCGTACACCCTGCTCTCCCCCTCCACGTGCCACCTGCCCTCGGGCGTCGGCAGCCGCACATCCCCCATCCCCACGTCAATCCTCATCCCCTCGTCGTCGTGCATGATGTCGGGCAGTGCAAACAGCGCCGCGTGGACACCCGCCGTGACCGCCTCCACGCGCATGCTCGCAAACGACCGCTCCCCGACCACCGACTCTGACAGCAAACCATGCCCGTGTCCATCTGCGTGGAGGCGGTGGAGGCGGAGGCGGGTTGAGACGTGCGATGAGCCAAGCACGTTTGCATGCTCGACTCGTCGCGGTTGACGGGTGTAGGCGAGAGCGGCGGGACAGAGAGGCCTGGTGCAGCAGCGTTGGCGGCCAGTAGGTATGGCGGGGGCGGTGGTGGCGGGCGAAGACGAGCAACGAGTCGAGCACGTCCGTGTGCTCGACTCGTCCCTGTGGCAGGGTAATGGGGAGCGCGGAGGTGGCGGACGGGCCGTGTTGCACACGCGGCCGCTTTGGCGGGCTGAGGAGAGGGCGATGGCGTGGGCGAGTGGGGCAGCGGCGGTGCGGGAGAGGTCGGACACAACGAGCCGAGCATCCGACGTGCTCGGCTCGTTGCAGGGGATGGGTGGGAGGTGGGGGCGGCGGAGAGAGACGGGCGACGAGCGCTCAGCTCGTCGCTGTTGGGCGTGTGGGCGCCGGTACCGTGGGCTGGAGAGAGGCCGGGCGCGGCGAGACGAGCACGCACGGGTGCTTGTCTCGTCGCAGGGGGTGGGTGGGGGTGGTGGAGAGAGGGCGAGAGGCGGGCGACGAGCCGAGCACCGCCGTGTGCTCGACTCGTCGCGGTTGAGGGTCGTTGGCGAGAGGGGCGGCCGCGGCGGGTGCTGGAGACGTCGGACGTGGCGAGATGAGCACACTCGGGTGCTCGACTCGTCGCAGTTGAGTTGTGTGGGGGAGAGTAGCAGCGGCGAGTGGTGCGGTTGCGTCGGAGGAGGTAGTGGTGGCAGCAGCGACAGACTGAGACAAGGAGAGGCCGGGCAACAAGCCGAGCACGGCCGGGCATTTGGCGCCCGTCCGGCATTGTCCGCTCGGGCCGGATATGAGCTGGCGTCTTGGGCGTTTATCGTGCCGCACGGCATACGCCTGGGTCGAAAATCCGACCCAGGCGTATGCCGTGCGGCACGATAAACGCCGGTCCTCGATCAACACGTCATCTGTATCACTTATTACATATCTTGTTGAACTGATCAAAACCGCCGGTGTAGCCTGATTAGAGTAGTCTGATTAGACAGATTGATACAAATAGCTGTGAATGAATGTATAAACATCTCTACATTGGTGTTTTAATCTGTCCTGTCAAACAGATTGATAAGTAAAGCTGTGAAAGCACTGCAAAAAGATGTTCAGAAGATGTACAGCAATGTAATTAGCTGTGTATCAGACTCGTTGCTGTGCCAGTCATCAGTAACTTCAGCGCTAAGGGTGACTAGAGCAATCTACTTGAATGTGAACTATATTGTAATTGATAGGAGATGAAACCTTGATTATGGAAGCTGTACATTGGAGAGGGTGATATAAGACTAGACAGCGACAGCTCCTTTCCATCACCTACCCAGCCTTCCGTCTCTTCAGTGAGTCTTGCAGTCCTACAGTTCTGATGCCCGCTAAACTACATCAAGACAGCGAACCCTCAAACCATGAGCAACAATCCTGTAGGCAACTTGCCCTCTGGTATGCTTTATACTTTGTTTAATACAAAAGAATATTATATGACTTGGTTTCATTCAGACTCGGAGAAGCTACAGTTACCCAACCGTCATTGCCTACTCCCCGATATCTATCAAGTCCGTAACCACATCAAGGCGCCGCGTTATGGGTTGTATCTTGGAAAGCTCTACGTCGCTTTGATCGACAGCTCACCCGGGCACATAAACAAAGTCGCACAATACCTGGAGACCGCTCAGTGCCCAAATGGTACTGCTGAGGGCATCATCGAGTCAGGTATTGTGCACTCTGATATATCAATCTTATCAGTTCTTACTAAATTTAATACAGGTTATCTCACCCTACGCCCAGGCGATTGCTTGTTTGCTCGTGATCTCAGGGGATCTCTGTCGGAAGCAGACGACCGTATCCAAGCTTTTGTGACCCCTCGGTGAGTCTCAGTTGTTTGATTAGTTCACCATTTATTTAATATCTTATTCATAGGGAGTGCTTCAGCCCCGAGATGCTGGAACAATAAGTTCTATTCTACTATGCAGCTTAACCTCTCGCCAGCACAAACCAGTGATGTGGTTGAAGCGCGTTAGTATAGATGTGTATCTACTGTTTTACATGGTTCTGATTATTTGTTAGGCAAAAACTTCTCGTCCAACCAGGGCCACTTTGGTGCCGTTCACATCGACAAAAAAGACGCTCTGGCTGCATTCACTCATCTCACATCCTGCGGCGACCTTCTTGGTGGTGAAGAACCGGGATATTTCTTTATCCTCCCTTTTGGAGTTGGTGTGCGTCTGGAAGGTGTCTGCTCTGTTGGTTTCTCTGGGCGACACCGTCATGGCGGGTTTCCACCTACTGCTCTTCCTGGTCGCACTCCGCACAAAGCCTTCTACCGGATGGTTGTCGTGTCCTACCCCTCGCATGCCCAATTTGGCGCTGTTGGCAAGATCGCCTTTGGCCACTCGGGACGAGACTCCTTAGATCTCGTCAAGGAGTTCAGGGATCCAAAGTAAGTGATATTATACCTTTGTTGTCGCTAGCCGCTTACATAAATTAATAGGTACGACAACCGCGCATTCAAGGGGTCGACAAGTTCGATGCTTACAGACGGTGTTGCCATCACAAGCGACAAAGCCCTTGTTAATTTTGCTGGTCGAGGTATCGCACAACTAGCTTTTGGTTTGCTCAAGCAGCTCCCTTCCTCGCTCAATGTCAAGCTCGATGTTGACACTCTCCTCCAATCTATCACCTACCAGCCCCAGGGTCAGGAGCAGCGTCTCTCGCTTGACCCTTGGCCTCTTGCTCCTGGCCGTGAAGGCTCTACCGCACGTGCTGATGGCTTGGAGCGGTGGGAGGCCTGCAACAAGGCCATCCAAGCCTTCTTTCCTGAAGGAGTAGCCCGTACTGGAGGTACCGAGTCAGAGGAGGCCAGCGATGAAGGTGATGGGGGCAATGGTTCTGATGGTTCAGACGAAGATCAGGCAAGTTCATTGCGTGTCCTACGCTCTAGTAAGTTGCCTATACATGTTTGATATACCTTTGTACTAACAATACGGGTTTTAGAAAAGCGCTCCACAGCTACGCGCCCAACTAGTGGTGGGCGAAAAGTCAAGAGTGAGTTTATATGTTTTTTTTTGTATCGCGCTTGCTAACCTAATATTCAGAGGGCAAGGAAACGGCAGGTAACTGATCACTGTCCATGGTCTATTGATGTACAGACTGTAGTATCTCATACTTTATGGCAGTTCTTGCGGCAACGTTCCAGAAGGGACATGTGAAAACGATGCAGCAAATGCGGCTTCATGATCCATTTCAAAAACCTAGCAGTTCGTCACAGCACATCTCTATGACTCCTGAGCCTGAAGAATCAAACGAGGACGAGAACAAGAGCATAGACACGGCTCCCACCTGGACTTTGAGGTCTAACCGGGAGCAGCGTAGCGACTCTGAGGGCAATATCCCCCAGAAAGGTTTGCAAACCTCGCATGTTTGAGGATCTTGCTTACATGATATTAACAGACTTGTCAAGCCTTTCTGCTGAAGAGAGCAGCAGCGAGGACACTGCCTCTGACTACATGCCAGGCGCACCGAAGAAGGGCAAACAAGTTGCCATACTTCCATCAGCAAAGCAGTACTCTCATTACTGGGTGCAAAGCAGGGCACTTCATGCTACAGATGACGGTGATGGTGAGTGAGATGTGAGACAGCATAGAATTTGATTTGGACTCACATAATATTATTTGTAGCTGCAGATATCATGGAGGTCGACGAACCTCAGGCAGAGAGTGAACCAGATGTAGAAATGTCTGGTATGTGTTTTATGTGTAATGGCTGTGAAGACCTCACTGATGCTTTGTGATGTAGACGATGGAGAGACCACTTTGCGTTGTAAGCACCTTTTTGTCAACAACCATGTATAAATGTTGATTTAATTTATGACAGCCTACACAACATTCTTGGAAACGTTCGGAGAGGTCAAGTTGCGTGAGCATCTGAACCTCTTCACGAAGGCAGCAAAGTCTCTCCAACGTGCAACTCAGGAACCTCTGACTGCAAACCGTGTTGACTCCTACCGTACGCTTATCAGTGTCGTAGACGGGGTTAGCAAGAAGAAGCAAGTCTTCTCTCAAGACCTCCTCTCCCATCTCTCCACCGTATGGCCTGCCATCGAGACTCAAACTGCACTCCTGGAGCTCCATTCTCTGCAGCTTGACATGGGAAGAGCGGAGGTGATGGCCGCAGTTGCTGCAGCCTGGACATGGCTTGATGTCAACCTGCTAAAGGCTTGTAAAGATCTACTTGCCAGTCGTAAGTCTGATTTACTATTTGTATCAGTAATTTGATAAACTTACCTATAGCTTCAATAGCAACGGAGGTCACTGGCAGTGGAGCATGGCTCGGTCACTTTCTGGCGGACGTACAAGCCTACGTTGGGAGTAACTCGCGTGTTACTTTCAGGCCCTCTTCATATGGCCTCGAGCTTCAGGATGATCCTGTGGTCAACTTCCATACCATCAGTGGACGCTTGCAGTCCAGCGCGCGCGAGAAGCGCATCATCTCCATCGCTCACAAAACCTTGTGGACTTGGCTCCGCTACCCATCCCGGGATATGAGCCGAGTTCAAGGTACCCTCGTGCGCCATCTGGTCATGACCTTTGGCTCTGATGTTCTTCTTCTCCCGGGAATCTGGGCGGCCTTCCGCAACGCACGTGCAACCTGTCTTTCTGGCAACGATCGCACTCTCACTTCCGTCAACTTCCAACCTGACCTGCTCAATGACTTCCTCAAGGACCTGCAACGTCTCCCGTTGGCCAACGCTGACTCGGTTGAGGCCAAGTTGTACGAGCAGATTCGCACGCAGCTGGAAAGTTACCATGAGAACTGGAAACAGGTTCTCAGCGGGAGTACAGCGGTCGCTCCCCGTCCGCATGTGATGGAACTGGAGGCTGGTCCCTCAGGTTCTTCCCCGCGCAGCGGTGTTTCCACCCCGTCTCCAACCACCACTGCTGCCAAGACTCTCGAGACGTTCATCCGCTTCCTTCTTATCTTCCTTTCATCAGACAAAGTTCAGGAGGATAGCTGCGAGAGCCCTTGGCAAATTGTCGTCTCTCAAGACCTCGACTTCTTCCTCCCCTTCCGCCAACATGCTCCACAGGTCCTGGCTGCTCGAGACAAGTATGCCTTCCTTGATCCAGAGCGCGCTGGTCAGCCCGGGGCTTTGGGAAGTCATATCTGCTGGCGCGCTCTCTCCTACCGGTCAACTTGGTCCGAAAAGCTCATGGACTCCACCGGCTTTCGCGATCTCTTCTTCCGGGACTATGCTTCATTCAAAGCCGAAATCGACCACCTCTCCGGGTCTTTGAAGCTCACTGGCCGTGCCCTTCTTCTCTACGTCTGCAACCTCAACGCCTATGGGACTGCACGCCACCAGGAGCTCAAGTTTGCTGAGGCTTACTTTGCAGCAGAGAAGGGGTGGAAAGCTTTGTTGGGCGATAGGGAGCGGGTGGAATATCTCGAGGCCCACAAGTTCTTCACCAAATTGCACGGTATCGGTCCCCTCATAGCATCCCTCATCACCTCAGATCTCGTTTACTCGGGCCAGGTCAAGATGCCTGACATCGCGGAAATGGGAGTGATCATCCATCAGATCTCCAAAGGCGCTGTCTCTGGTCTCAACTCCCTTGGACTTCTCCACTCGGCCACCAACAAGCATTCTGTCGATGTTATCCAGAGCGCTGCAGTCAACCTCTACAACTCCCTCCACGACTCCTTCACCCCCGACGAACGTTCCCAAATGACGTTTGATCCTATCATGTTTGAGCACCTTCTATGCAAGTATCAGCGTGTGGAGAGAAAGGTCAAGGCATTTGAGAAGGAGCTTGCGAAGAACGCGAAGAAGAAGAAGGCCCCAAAGAGGCGCTAGAAGGGATGGACACTTCCTAGATATATATGACTTTGACCGTTCCTTTGGAGTCCGAGTATTTTCTTGTATTGTATACTAGCGAAACTTGATTTGCCATCATGGACATGACAGGTTCACTCATAGTTCACAGACATGAGATATATGAACTTGTGATACCAGACTGATTAATCAGACGTAGGCTCATCTGCGCGTCTAACACCACCATCCTGCAAGGACATTCTCTTCAGCTGCCGACGTGACTCCTCCATCCCTGTCTCTTCCTGCTCTCTGTACCCCACCTTGCGCTTGACCTTCTTGAGTGGCGAGACAGCACGTAGGCTTAGATCTCTCAAGGCCGATGAGTTATAGTCCTGCATGTAATGAGCATGGTGAAGGTTAAACAGAGACACCTTAATTACCGATTACACTGCACGACTAAGGACACAAATCGCCCGCAACTTCGGCAGGAATATATATTCATGACGCCCAACCTTGACAGCCGCAAAGGCAATCTGGAGTTCAACCATGGTGCCGGGGAAGATTACATCCGGCTTGATGCGGCAGAAGGAACTGATCGCTGTCAGAGATCGACACAATTGCAAACATTCACTAACAACACACCTGCCCTGGTTCTCCGTCACTGTTTGCTCCCAGTACTCAACCACATTCTCTTGCAGATGGACCTGAGTGGTGAGACAGGGCTGCAGAATATAGAAGGGGTCCACGACATCGCTGAGATCACCCCGTGGTTCGCCTTCAGCAAACTTTGAAGCAGTGAGGTACCGATTCCCAAAGGAAAGCGTAAGGTGGTTCTCCAGACGTGATGTGCTCCAGGTGCGCAAATTGTGTCCGACAAGGTGCGCACAAAAATGCTGATAGATGGTCATGACTGCACTGACTGCACCGTCAAAGGGCTCCACGCCCAGGCTGCTCACGGTTACAGTTTGCCTGAGATCGATGAGCCGGTTCGGGTTTGAAGGGAGTCTGACGCAACTGTTGATGCTTGGCTGACGAGAGATGGGTACAAGCACTCACTGGTTACGCCTGATAGGAGGCAGGGTAGACTCAACAAGAAAACCCTGCACACGCAGCACGAGCTCCTCGGGAGGGGTGGAGCGGGATGGTCGTTGTTGAATAAGCGTAAGCAATCTGCCATCCCGCTGCTCTAGTATCTCGACATTGCTGACAAGACATGCAGGCTGTCAAACAGGTCAGGGGTGTTTAAAACAGACTGCAGTGGCACTGACATCGGACAGGCTTGAAAGCTGCATGAATGGAGGAGCCGACTCTGCATTCCTGCTCATGCAGTCCAGGAGCAGAGCCTCTAGTAAATCTGGTGAGTATTCTATTGACCTTGTCAATGCACACACTCACGGTACTTGGCAACATTCCCATAGAGGTGGGTGAGGAATGACATGATTTCTGGTGAGAGTCAAGAAGGAAAGAAGCAGCAGTCAGCACAAGTCATGACCTACTGCGACGTGCGCTCTCAACAAAGTCTGATTCAGGCATGTTCCGCCTTTGGGGAGAGATGTCCGGCTTTCTCACCATCACACTGCTCGCCGCACCAATTGTGAGCTGACAACAGATGAGAGACCGGCCGGGACTTTGGGGATGCCCATCCTAGTTCCCAGAAGCTGCATCAGCGCAGCCATTTCAAATTCGCACCCACATATGCGAATTTCAAACCACCACCCCACGAGTCTTGCACAGACAGGATCCTCACAAAGGTGAACCTACTGTGTCCATGGATGCACCGTGTATTCTGGTACATATGTATGCAATTTCACTGGTACGGGGGGTACAGAGTTGGTGCATGGGGTGTCGCTCTGCAGGCAGTGTTCACGGGAGGGCACTCATCACGGAATGGAACATGTTGTCCCCAACACTGGTAAGCGAGCATGGCGAGGTCCCAGAACTCTGGCGATATCGCTGAACCCCGCTTCTGAGAAGGATAAAAGGGCTGGAGGGCAGCAGAACCAGGCAGAGTCCTCCTCACCTCGAGCCCTTCCCAACACTCTTCTCAGCCTCTTTTACTTTCCCCCTCCACTTCTCCACCCCACCATCTATCCCCATGGCCGGACGTACTACCCGCACCCGTGTCGCCGCTAGCACTGGTGGAAAGGTGTGAGTGTCTTCTACATGTACTGTATGGCAGCAACATACTGATCTTTCTGCAGCCCGAAGGCGGTTGCCAAGAAGGCTGCTGCTCCGGCTCAGGCTAGAGGTGCAAAGGCTGCTGCAAAGCGCAAGACCGCAGCTCCTGCTCGCAAGGCCCTGGTGGTGTCTGCCACTAAGTGAGTGTCACTCTTGTCTTATCATCACAATTTTCTGAGCTGCCTTAGAGGGAAGACTGTCCGTGGCAAGGCAGCGAGGGCCATTGACAGCGACGCCGAGGAAGGCTCCGACGAGTCCGACATCCAGACAGAGTCCGACCTTGGCATGGAGGAGGCTGCTGCTGACAACACCTCGTACGTTGCTCTGCATGGTTTTTTGTTTGATGTGCTTCAATTCTGAAGAGTATCCTTACAGTGACAACAAAAGTGTCTCTGCGGATGTCATGATGATCAGGTAAGATATGCGACATCAGCCCCATGCAAATCTAACACTGCATGCAGCGATGACGAGGAAGACAGCCGCCAGGAGGTTGAGCTGACCCCGAAGATTGGGTATGTGTCTTCACTTTATGCTGTGCTTCTCTGATATTGTATGTTGCAGACGCAGCCGTGCTGCCAATTCTAGCCCGCCGTCTACCCCAAAGACTCCGTCGCCTGTGTGAGTGTTATTACTCTGCTGTGTTGCTGCTATCTGTCATCTAATACTTTGCCACAGCAAGGCCGGTCGTGGCAGAGCCGTCAAGCCGAAGTCCACCCCTGCTAAGCATGCCAAGCAGTAAGTGTACCGTGTTGTTATTGTATGTTATACTGTCATACTGATCATCCAATTAGGGTGGACTCTGAGGACTCCGAGGATGAAGGGTGCGCAAACATCAGTGTTGATTACGATGATACTAACACAACATTACCCAGAATCTCTCCTGTGAAGAAGGTTAAGACGGCGTACACTTTCCTTTTACCTTCCATTATAGCTTGCTCTAACAATAATAATCTAGGCTTGCCCCGGGCAAGCAGAGTTTTGTCCCTCTCCCCCGCACGCAGTAGGTCTCGCTGGCAGTTTATGTATTGTCTACTAAATATTGTCTTAGGACCATCAGAGCCCAGATCGCTGCTGAAAGGGCTGCCGCTGAGAAGGCCAACAAGATCATGGTTGACAAGGACGTCCAGACCGAGCTGAGCGGCAGTGCGGACAGAAAGGTTCAGACCAAGCAGCGCAGCAGTGTCAAGGTGGTGATCCCCATGCGTAAGACTCCTGGCAAGTCTAAGAACACGCCCGTCAAGGCCAGCAACACTGGCAAGGCTGCGAAGACGTCTAAGGCCCCGAAGTGAGTCTACCCATGTTTGTGCAATATTGAGCTTGCACTGATCTCTCTCCAGCTCTGACTCATCGGTGTTCACCCGTGAAACTGACGACAAGGACAAGTACTAAGCTTTGCTTACGAGTACCGTACCAGTCCTTACAATGTGTTGTAGAGCGCGCCTTCAGCGTCGTCTGTTCACCGACCATCTTCCTGAGCCCCTGCGCACCATGTATGTCTTTAATCTGGTATATCTCAATTGCATCTCCGTTGAAGCCATCATCAGTCAGGATCATGGGAGCAGCAAGGACACCGCAAACATGTATGTTATTCTCCTGGGATCTGATATATCTTCAAGTTCTCACTGCATGGAGTAGGTCTTCTCTGGACAGCGGAGAAGAGGAGGATGATGCTGCCATGGAAGATCTCGCAGATGACGTCACCAACAAGCTTGTCCTTGATGTTGACAACCCTGACGTTGTGGATGAAGCTCTCAGGGACACGTACCAGGGCTTGCCAGTAGTGCGGTATGAAACACCATTATTTTTAAATGCAGAACACAGCCTGATATAAGCCTAGATTTTGTGAGGCTCTCACCGCAGACGGTTCCCTCATCAGCACTGTTCCGTACACGCAAGGCCTTGTCAACAAGCATGACGTGAATCCCAGGTCAGCGATGTCTTTACCTATACAATGTAAGCTAACCAGAAATTCTAGTGCTCTGAAGAGACTGGCCACCTTCAGCAATGATGGCGGCTACGTCATCAACCCTGCGCGCTTTGACCCTGCCAAGGTCACCTTGAGTACGTTTGGCCAAAGTGCTAACAAGGTGCTCTCCTGGAAGCCGCAGTCGGGGCAGCCTGCCCGGGCTATCTGCATGACCATGGGCTTCGTCTTCACCTGTAATGTCGTCTTCCCGACGTTGTTTGGAAAGCAGCAGTCACAG